AGAACGATTCGAATCAGATGAAGCTTCTGCCATTTGTGAATGTTTGTTTTTGTCGTTATTATTTTCTTTCTCTTTCCCCCTCAAATATATGTAGCAATCCTTCTTAAAGTGCCCACTTTTGCCACAATGGAAACATTTTTTGATATTCAATTTATTTTTAAATTGTAGTTTTGATTTCTGCTTAAAATTTATGTTTTTGTTTTGAAAATTATTGGATCTTATGTTTCTTTTGACTGCTTGTAAAACTTTTAGACTTGTATCTTTACTTGCATTTTTTAATTTTATTTCATGGTCCAAAAGTCTATTCTTTACAAACGCTAATGTAAGAGTATTTTCGGATAAAGTTTCAATCGCAGTAGTTACAACGTCGTATGACGAAGGAAGTGTTAAGAGTAAGTGAGAAACCTTATCTAATTCTTCCAATTTCACTCCAGCAGCAAGCAACTCAGTTAATAAATCGTCAAAAACTGTAAAGTGATTTAGTAATGGCGTATCGGCTTTTAGCTTTAATGATAATAACTGTTTACGGACAGATAATTGCGACGCTAAGCTTTTTCTTTCATATGTTGCATCCAAATTCTGCAGAATTTCTTTTGCACTACTCTCTGTTGTTGCAAAACTGAGGAACGAATCGGATAAATATTCTTTTATTATACTTTTCGCAGTTTTTTCTAGTTTATTCCACTCCTCAATATTTTCACCACATGTTCCGTCTATAACCTTAATGGCGTCGGTTTCACTGAGAAGTGCTCTTACTCGGAATTTCCAGATAGAGTATTTCTCTCCATCAAAAGGTTTAATATTTCTTTTGTTCCTTACTATTTTTAAGTTTATTAATTGATTTGATACTTAGCTTTAGTTTCCTTGGCGGGACTGGGCCCATAACCTATTAAGAAAAGAGATTATCCAGAAGCTTATGTTTTCTTAGAAAAGAATGCTGTGCGATGAATCCAGTATTATCTTCTTAATCCCATCGAAAGAACACCCATCCAGTATCAAGGTTTAATCTCGTTTTTATCAAGTTCAATATTTTGTTTTTATTTCATTTCTTTTCGTTGCACTGCACATTATTATATTTAAAGAAAATCAGATGTTCACGCCAGAAAGGCGTGAAGTTTTGAGCGGCAGTGTAAGCGGCCAGCGCTTGCGCTCAAGCTTGTGCTCCCGCTCACTGTGTCCTCCGCTCTTCCCGTCTCCCTCTCTTTCGCTGCTCTCCAGCAGCGAACTCACCACTCCGCGGTCCCTGCAGCCTTGTTCTCCATGTAATCTAAGTTAGTTTTTAACACAGAAGTGAAGCAATAAAGTGTAGTGAAACGAAGCTGCCCCCTCTCGCCTACTATTTTTGGACATTTCTTCCTTGTGGGATTCAGCAGCCTCCAGCCCAACGATTCCGACGACCACCACCTCAAAGAAGGACGACCACTTGTTTTGGCCATTCCGCCCCCTCCAGTTCATGGTCCTTCGAGCCGTCGAAAGCGAAATTTCCAGCGCCCCATTGCGGATATACCAAGATAAGTACGAAGTCCAAAGTCCATTCGTCCGTGGTCGCCATATTCTTTTTCCAAGGCGTTATTTTTTTTCTGTGTCCGAAAAAATTGAAAAGTGACAGTGAAAAGTAAAAATTATATACATATATATGTGCATAGAGTGATACACGAACAGCCACAGTAAATTTCTTCCCATTTTTTTAAAGTGCAAAAGTACTTTGCCAATATCGGCCCCCTACATAGTCGTGCTGTGATCCGCTGGTGCAAATACATATGTACATATATATATATATTTTTTTATTGTACAAATTCACGTTCCGTCACTCAGTTCCAATACGTCCGTCACTAACTGCATTTCAAAATAGTATTAATAAATATTATTTTTATTGAGAGCATTTACACACATACATACATACCCTAACATACACCCAAATATATATGTAAATAAAAAATAAAATCCGAACCCAAATATAAATATAAAAGACATCTGAATCCAAAATATATATTTTGTTACATAAAAAATAAAATAAATAGAATTACACCCAAATTTCCAATTTCCTCATTGTTTTTATTTAAAAATATTAACTAAAGAAATTCAAAAAAGAAGGAAAAATATATAATAAAACACAAATAAATCCATACTCAAAAAAAAAAAATAGAAATACATAAATATAGTTGTTTTTATTTCTCGCATATTCCATACATATATACATATTTGGGCAAGCTTCGCGCTATTCTGCGCTTAGCAAAAATTACATATTTTCATCCATACATATATACATATTTGGGCAAGCATCGCGCTATTCTGCGCTTAGCAAAAATTACATATTTTCATCCATACATACATACATACATACTTTGGGCAGCTTCGCGATATTCTGCGCCTAGCAAATTTACATATTTCATACGCACATACCAAAGACAATAGATTTAACAAGATGCCTTACGACCATACATTCGTTTTGCAATATGAGGCTGCATTTTTGATGGCAACGACAATCGCGTTCTAAAAATAGAATGCGTTTGCTTGTATGAGTAAACACAAGAACACGCAAGCGCGTATGTTTGCGAGAATATGTGTGCGCCAGCGCGCAAGCACCAAAAAATCAAATTTTTATGTTTTGTGCTGGCGACCGCTTGTTAGGAGGCGATGCACAGTAGCGCCTCTCGAACAAATAGCTTTGCAAAAATCGAAAAAGTCATGTTCGCAAAAACGATTTTAACCATACTTATTTGACAGAACATTTCTCAAAGATTGAGAATCTGTAATAAAATCAATTAAAATTTTTTTTTTTAATTCTAAGTGTAACCGCCACAAAACCGTGAGCGCTACAGTTAGCATATTTTTTTTTTTTATTATGCAGTACATATATATATTTTACAACAATTATCTGTCCGTTCAAATTATTAGGTTATCTTATTTGGTTCAAAATATATGATTTTTGCAACGCTAAATGAGAAAAGGCGCTACTGTGCGATAGTAGCGGCAGCAAAAACAGCTGATCTCGAATATAGATTGTATTTGTATACAAGTTCAATCCAGAAAATCAGTTAACTAAATTTTATTTTCATCTGTATGTATATTTTATAATTTTATTATTAAATAAATATGCAAAATAATACAAATAATTGATTTAAATACATTCATAATTACATATGTATTTACAATTATCTAATTCAATTGACTAATAAATTAACAATATATTATTATGATTCATACATTATAAAAAATTCATTTATAAATCAATAAGTATATAAAATTAAAGAGATGTTAAAATAAAAAATAAATTTATTTGCGAAATTGGCCTTCTGAGGCCCGTTTGCACACAAACACCCGACGGCGTCGCTGAATGCGTACAAGAGAACGGCTGGCTCTAGAGCGCTCTCTTCGCTGGCTTTTGAACAAAATTTAAGAGAGCCTGGAGCCAGTTCAAAAGCCAGCACGAAAAAATCGTGTGCAAAAAAATCGTATGGCGTTATTTATCTTATAGCTCTATTGTCTTTGCACATACAGTGCATTTTTATTTCGTCTCCTCTTTGCTCGTTAAGCGTGCACAAACACCTGCACTAATACGTTTCCGAAAAGGCAAAGTGCCGACGGAAAAACTTCGTCCACCCACGAGAAAAAATAAAAATAATTCCTGGAAAAACATTTTTTAAGGAAACCGAAATTCTTTTAAATTTTTTTTAACAACAAATACCGCCACTCTTTTTAGCTATTTTTTCGCCAGCTAGCTTTTTTGGTCTAGCCAAGGTTTTAGCTATTTTTCTTATTTTAGCTATATTTGTGTTGGCGGTGTTAGGTTTTCGTGCGGTTCCTGGAAATAAAGGATAGCAATCGATTTTCGATTTTTTAGCTAGGTTTTTGGTGGGCGTTATTTTTTCGTGCGGTTTTCTGCATATCAATCTCCATTGGCCTCCGTTAGCTATTTTTTTTTTTAGCTATTTTTGTGAATTTCTTTCCACGTAGTTCTTCACGATCTTTTTGTGAGTTCCGAAAAAAAAAAAAAAAAAAGAAAAACCCATATAATTCCCGAAAGCTATTAGCAAATTCCGCGTTTTCCAGCTAGTTTTGGCGGGTGTTTTTTTTTTTTTTTTTTTTTTTCTCGCAAAGTTCTACGATTGTTGTTGTCGTATTCCGGAACATAAGGTCGAAGAAGCCAATTTTGAAGTAAGTGGCTAAGAATTTGCAACAATTTCCGAGCCTAGTTTGTAGCTAGATCAAGCTACTTTTTTCGCTATATTCTATTATCCGCACGCGTTTCGTAGATCCGACACTGACAGTTCAGTTCCCTCGTTTTGCTAGCGAGTGACCATAGCCAGATTTGGCTATTTTCCTTTCCTGCCGTTTTTATTCTGCGAGCTTCGCAGTGTTTAAGGATTAAAGTTCATTTTCCGTGCACTCGCTTTTCTTTTTGCGGGGGGCAGGCCTTCTCTTTTCATAGGGCATAGCTGAGTATGCCCATAGAGGGAGATAAAAAGGGAATCTCCTCCCCGGCCAAGTCGAACCCATCCTCTCCGCGGCCCATTCGAGCCCATTCAGTACCCAGGCCCTCCAGTCCGAGGATCAGAAGTTCGGTTTCCACCTCCAAAGGGACGGATCGTCGATCGACAAGTCAGTCAAACGCTACACGAATAGTCATCTCTAGTCCAGTGGCAAAAGCTTCTACCGACTCTTCGCTTGCCATAAAGTCAGAGTCTCCCTCTGTTTCAAAGCCGGAATTCCTGAGGGTGACACGCTCTAGCAGCCACAAAATGGCATCCGCTGAAAAACCAACGGCCGAACAGCCAACGGCCGAACCGCCAACGGCCGCAACCGTGTCGTTGCGCAAATTCATAGCCGCCAGCGATCGTGTGAGCATTTTTGAAGCAAAGATCAATACTCCAGGTCAAACTTCCCCGTCCCTACATCTGCTACAAGTCCGCCTGCAACAAGTGAGAGCCTTATGGGACAAGGTAGAGACGGAGTACGACATGTGCTCCGATCTAATTGCCCAATAAGGATCCCTCGAAATGGTGTCCGTGCTGCAGAGCAAATATGACTATTGCTATTCGGTGTATGAGTCATGTTCTGCAGAGATCAGTGCGACAATTGACAGTGACACGCCTCAAGCCGTGCAACCACCCTCCCAGCCAATCATTTCCTCCGGTTGCCGCTTATCTCCCTGCGATACAGAAGTCTTCGACGGGGACTACCTTCGATGGCCCACTTTCCGGGACCTATTCACGGCAGTCTATGTCAACAACCCCAGGCTGACACCGGTCGAGAAGCTCTTCCATCTTCTCACGAAGACGAGCGGCGAAGCGAAAGCCATCGTCTCCAAATCCCCGCTCACAAATGACGGGTTCGCCTCTGCGTGGGAAGCGCTTCAAGACCGTTTCCAAAACAAACGACTTCTAGTCAACAGCCAACTCAAGCTTCTGTTCAACTTGAGTTCCATCTCCCAAGAATCTGGTCATGCGCTGAAAGAGCTGCAGTCCACGATTCAGGGGTGTTTGACAGCGCTAGCACATTCCCAAATATCCACGGACAACTGGGATTGTCTGCTGGTGTTTCTGTGCGCAAGTAAGCTGCCGAAAGTTACCCTTTCGCTATGGGAACAGTCCCTAACGTCGAAATCCGACATTCCGGCTTGGGAAGAGATGAACACCTTCCTAAGCGAAAGATATCGCACCTTAGAGGCCATCGAGGACATGAAGCCGACTCAAGCAGTCCCGAAAAAGCTTCAGTCCTTCGAAACAAAAGTCAGCACCAAACCAAAAGGGTGTGACTTATGCTCCAAGGAGAATCATCCAGTACGCTTATGCCCGCGCTTTCTCCAAATGTCCGTCGACGCGCGTTCCGGCTACATAAAAAAGAAGCAGCTCTGTCTCAATTGTTTTGCGAGAGGCCACCAGCTCCGTGACTGCACGAGCACGCACAGCTGTTTCACTTGTAAAGGGAGACATCATACTCTGCTACATCGTAATGCAACTCCTGCAAATTCAAGATCCTCTACGCCCTCTGCTCAGCTCTCTTCAGGACCCTCCAGCAGTAATGCATCGACGAGCAATCCCACGGTGCAAAATTACTTCGCCTCTGGCACTACAGCCGTTCTTCTGAGCACGGCAATTATCGATGTGTGCCATCTCGGCACGAACTACCGAGCACGAGCCTTAATCGACTCGGGATCCGAGGCGACTTTCATTTCCGAACGCCTCTTCAATTTGATCAAGCTGCCATTCCGCAGCATCCAAACTCAAGTCTCCGGGCTGAACCAATCCGTTTCGGCGAAGTCTACCAGACTCTGCCATTTTCAAGTGCGATCTCCTACTAAGCCGGGTCTCCAGTTAGACACCGCAGCCTACGTCCTTCCGGCATTGGCGGGCAAATTGCCCTCATATCCAATAGCTCGGGATTCTTTGAAAGACCTGCCCGCTCTCCAATGGGCAGACCCCAAATTCTACGAGAGTCCGCAAATTGATGTTCTAATCGGGGCCGACATTTTACCTTCGGTCATGCTGAGTGGCACGCGAGGAAACATTTGCGGCTCTCTACTAGGCCAAGAGACCATTTTCGGATGGGTGCTTACGGGGCCGATCTCCCAGGTGAACTCAAACAGAGTCGCATCCTTCACGACTCAAGTACACCAAGTAGGTGACGAGGCACTGGACACGCTTCTCAGCAAGTTCTGGGAGGTGGAAGATCTACCAGTCCAGATGGTAAAGGAGTCGGATTCCTATTGCGAGAGGAACTTTCTCCAAACGACGAAGAGAGACGCAAGCGGGAGGTACGTGGTGACGCTCCCGTTCTGCGACCCCGTAAATTCTGGATTCAATCTAGGGTATTCGAGGTCCATCGCGTTAGCTCAGTTTCTCCGAAACGAAAATCGGTTAAAAAGAGACTTTCCCCTAAAAGAGCAATATGACAGCGTGATTCAGGAATATCTGGATCTGGGTCATATGAAAGAAGTTCCGTCGACTCACAATTCTCCTATCTACTACCTTCCACATCATGCGGTGATCAAGCCCGAAAGCACCACTACAAAGCTTCGCGTTGTATTTAACGCTTCAAGCCCTTCAGCAAATGGAACCAGTTTAAATGATATTCTTCATGCTGGTCCAGTCCTGCAATCCGATCTGACTATTCAGATCCTGAAGTGGCGATGCTTCCAATATGTCTTCAGTGCGGACATTACTAAAATGTACCGTCAGATTTGGGTCGATTCCAAGCACACACCCTTTCAAAGAATTCTGTTCCGAAATAAGGAAGGAGATATCCGAGACTTCGAGTTACAGACAGTTACTTTCGGGGTCAACTGCGCGCCCTTCTTGGCTATCCGAGTGCTGCAACAGCTAGCAAAGGACGTCCAAGGGCCATTTCCACAGGCCAGCCGCATTATTCAGCATCACATGTATGTCGATGACGTGCTGGCCGGCGCAAATTCCGTAAAAGACGCCCAAGATTCGGTCCAAGAATTGCGAGCAGCTCTGAGTTCCGCTGGATTTCCATTAAGAAAATGGACTTCTAACAATAAGAGCATACTAAGCAATATTCCAGCTGAGCACCTTCTCCATAGCGAGTTCCTCGATATCGATGCCGAAAGCACGGCCAAGACGCTTGGTATGCGATGGAGGGCAAAGTCCGACGAGTTCTATTTCGTCCCTCCAGACCTAATAGTGGAACCCTCCTACACCAAGCGGGAAGTTTTATCCCAAATCGCTAAGTTGTTCGATCCTGCCGTTCATCATCCGTTCCAAAATGTTTATGCAGGAGATTTGGTTGCAAGACTTAGGCTGGGATGACAAGCTTCCCACGCACATGAGTCAGAGATGGCAGTCGTTTCTCAGAGAATATTCCGACCTCAACAAGATCCGCGTTCCAAGGTGGGTTGGGTACCAGCCAGAGGTCATCGTAGAGCATCACGGCTTCTGTGACGCGTCGCAGAAAGCCTATGGAGCTGCTATCTACGTCCGCGTCGAGATGGGTCACCAGATCTTGACTCGTCTGCTGACAGCCAAGACACGAGTGGCTCCGGTGAAAACCGTGTCCCTCCCCCGGCTAGAGCTCTGTGGAGCGGTGCTTTTAACCGAAATGGTGACAGCAATCCTTCCGCATTTGCCTACCGCCAGTTCCGACCTCCGCTGCTGGACAGATTCCACGATCGTCCTAGCCTGGTTACGTAAGCCTGCTTGCAACTGGACTACGTTTGTGGCCAACAGAGTTGCCAAGATCACTCAGGCAACACCAGTCGACTGTTGGGCACATGTTCCCTCCGAACAAAACTCCGCCGATTTAGCCAGTCGAGGCGTACCCCTGATCGACCTAGCGGATAGCAAACTTTGGTGGCAAGGACCAGAGTGGCTGCAAGGGCCTCGTGAGCTATGGCCTGCCCAAAATGCCATCGATCCGACCGAATTAGAACAGCGTGCAGTCAAGGTGCATTTCAGCAAGACCCCGTCCGAAGAATATCTTGAGCGTTTCTCCAAACTGGACAAAGCTCTGCGGGTCTTAACGTACGTTCTGCGATTCCTTAAACGCTGCCGCAAGAGCTCGATCTCGCCCGCTCCACGACCCACAAGTGATGAAATCCGGGAGGCAGAAAGAGTTTTAATCTCGATTGCGCAGCGCAGAGCATATGGCCAAGAGCAGAAGCATCTGGCCGAGAAAAGGTCCCTTCCAGTGTCCAGTCCGATTGCGAACTTGTTTCCGTTTATCGACCAACACGGCCTCCTAAGAGCATGCGGTCGCCTTACTGCTGCCAAAGGGTTGCAGTATGACGAACGCCATCCAATAATACTTCCCTATGACTGCAGACTGGCTCGCCTTCTCATCCAATTTGCTCACTAGATTACTCTTCATGGCGGTAGTCAATTAATTGTACGCCTGATCCGATCGAAGTATTGGATTCCTAAAATCAAGAATCTGGTGAAGGCTGTGGTGAATCCGTGTAAAATTTGCACGATTTACAAGAAGCGACTTCAAACACAGCTGATGGGCGATTTTCCGACAGCCAGAGTTTCCTTCTCGAGGGCTTTCACGTACACGGGCGTCGATTACGCCGGCCCTTTCGAGATCAAAAACTATACAGGGAGAGCGTGTCTCATAACAAAGGGTTATGTTTGTGTGTTTTTCTACGAAGGCTATCCATTTGGAACCCACTTCCGATCTGACAACCGAGAAGTTTCTAGCGGCCTTTGCTCGTTTCGTAGCGAGGCGCGGTTGTCCTCAGCGGGTCCATTCGGATAATGGCAAGACCTTTGTGGGGGCAGCAACTCTGCTTTCTCGAGACTTCCTACAAGCCGTCAAGGAGTCTGTGACTGATGCATACAGCCATCAGGGGCTCGTATGGCGATTTATTCCACCAGGGGCTCCACATATGGGGGTCTATGGGAAGCGGGCGTCAAGAGTTTTAAGACTCTGTTTTACAAAGCTTCCGCGACCCGCAAGTACGCTTTCGAGGAACTTGCGACGCTCCTCGCAAAGATTGAGGCTTGCCTCAACTCAAGACCCCTCTCCCCGATGTCCGAAGATCCCTCAGACTTGCTGGCCCTCACACCGGGCCATTTTCTTGTTGGAGGACCGTTGCTCTCCACGGTGGAGCCCGAGATAAAGGGCGAAGCCAAATCGATACTCAATCGATGGCAACATTTAAAGGCCCAACATCAGCAGTTCAGTGTTCGGTGGAAAGAGGATTATCTAAAGGAACTCCACAAACGCTACAAATGGCAATATCCGACCCGAAACCTCCAAATCGGCGACATGGTAGTCGTCAAGGAGGACAATCTTCCATCCGACGAATGGCGGCTCGGCAGAATCAGTTCTGTCTTCCCAGGAGCCGATGACCTCATCCGAGTTGTGCAGATCCGCACCGCTCGTGGGACTATTAAGCGCCCAGTCCATAAGGTCATACTTCTTCCTGCGGAGGATCAAGTATCCTCCGTTCCCAGGGACTAGGGCTTCTCAATTTCCGAGGTCCGACGTTTCGTGCTACCCCTGCTAACACTTCGTTTTTTCTTTTTTCTATTCATCGCAGGACACGTTTTTTGTACAATGGCTCCACGTCCTCGCACCGCCCAGTCCTTGGAAAGCAGACGTTCCCGAGGTACTCAGTCCTACCGCTGCCGAGTCTGCCGGGGAATCCATCCTCTTCGGAAGTGCAAGAGGTTCCGAAAGCTGAGCGCCGAGAAGCGCCTCCGAGCAGTACTTATTAATAAGTACTGCTCAAATTGCCTCGCCCACCAACATTCCGAGGGGACCTGCCGCAGCCAGGACGGCTGCAAGAAGTGTGGAGGGAGCCATCACACCTTGCTCCACATGCACGAGGAACGGGCGCCCGAACGCACACCCCAGCCAACGGCGTCACCATCACGCCCTTCACGCAAGCCTGTCCAACCCACCAGGTCGCATCCTCGCCATTCCGCCAGGTCCGCCTCTCGCTCTTCATCGCCAATTCGGGTCGCCATTGAGCGTCCACGTCCGGAGGTCTCCGCTCCGTCTACGTCGGTGGCCACGTTGGTTCGTCAGAAGACGGTCCACATACTGCCGACAGCCATCGTCGTGGTCGATACTGGATCCTGTACGTTCGAGACCGCGGCGATGATCGATCCTTGTATGGCGGTGAGCAGCATCGACCGATCGCTGGCGGCCGCTTTCCGGCTGCCTCTCACCAGGCTGGGAGACGACGAGGTCTGTTCGGCTGAAGCTGGACCCGAGCCTCAAGATCCGGACTCCCATTCGGGCTCTGAATGACTCCACTCGGGCTAAGTTCGACGACATCCGCCTTGCGGATGAACAATTCCACCGCCCGGCAACCATCTCCCTCGTGTTGGGCGCAGATGTGTTTGCCAAACTGATCCAACCGGGGTTCCTGAAACTCGAGGATGGCTTGCCGGTTGCTCAGAGCACCGTTTTCGGATGGACCGTTTCCGGAGCTGTTCTGGAGTCATGATCCTGATTCCTTTTGCTAGCGCAAGGGGGGGGAGAATGTTCACGCCAGAAAGGCGTGAAGTTTTGAGCGGCAGTGTAAGCGGCCAGCGCTTGCGCTCAAGCTTGTGCTCCCGCTCACTGTGTCCTCCGCTCTTCCCGTCTCCCTCTCTTTCGCTGCTCTCCAGCAGCGAACTCACCACTCCGCGGTCCCTGCAGCCTTGTTCTCCATGTAATCTAAGTTAGTTTTTAACACAGAAGTGAAGCAATAAAGTGTAGTGAAACGAAGCTGCCCCCTCTCGCCTACTATTTTTGGACATTTCTTCCTTGTGGGATTCAGCAGCCTCCAGCCCAACGATTCCGACGACCACCACCTCAAAGAAGGACGACCACTTGTTTTGGCCATTCCGCCCCCTCCAGTTTATCAGATAACACGTCTTCTCTCTCAGAAGAATAAAAACGGAAGAGGAAGTGACCACGCAGAATATAGTGTGGACGTCTCTTATTAGTTGTGTTTTTGCCACGACACACTAATATCGATATCAAGGGTGTTCTTCAAATGATATATCGATATTAAGGGTCTTCTAACAATAATAAATCCATATATTATATTTTCTCCATATAAAACATATATATTAAATATTATATTTTCTTCCCCATACAAAGACATTTACATACAACATTTGAAAAAAAATAAACATATATATAAAACAAGAAAATCAAAATATAATAAATAAAGAACAAAATATTGTGAGAAAAAAAATTTTGTAAACCAGTGTCCGTATTTTTTTGTGTATTTTATTGGTGCGCCTTACATAGTTCCGTCGCTGCCGCGACATCTACATACATACATACTCAAGAGCTTTTACATTGCCGGCAGCGCATCCCAACGAATATTGAGTTGGGAAAAAAGGTGTCAGGTGTTCCAATCCTACTATTCCGATCTAGTTACTTTTTTTGGCTTTATAATTAATATTTTTATTAATTAATAATTAATCAATAAATTGATCATTAAATACTTTTAAAGTTTTGCACTCGATTAAATATCCGCAATTGTCAAGGGTACTCCATTGGGTTATTTTATTTAATACGAAAATAATAAACAACTCGGCATTTCCGTCCAGCAATTAGTTATTTGGTCAAATAAATTTCAATTCTCGTCGCATTTGCTCCAATTAATATTGATTCCGTCGCTTCTACTTCAAGTAAATTTTTTCCAGTTTATTTACTTGCAATTCTGAGATTGGTTAATTCCACCATCCACCATCCACCATCCATATTCGTTTCGTTTTTACCGTCTCACATTTCTACTTCTTCGATTTAGTTGACGGTATTGGGAGCAAATAAGTCTAACATTCGAATTCTACGGCATATTCTTGCAATCCATATTCGCAATCCTTTATTTTGGGAATTCTGCTCAATCCAGCAGCTTCATTTACCTAGTTAGTCGGTCACTCCTATCAAGTCTTAAACCAATCCAAAAATGTCAGAAGGACAAGAATCAATTCCCCAAGACGCGAGTCAGAAGAGGGAGGGAGCGAGTTATGATTCAATCCTGGGTGGTGGTCCGGAGTAGATGTTTAAATGTCCTTTCTCAATTTAGTAAAGAAGTAATTCCAACTCGCCAGTTTGAGTTTCGTTTTTCGAATGAATAATATATTATTCAGCGGTGGCCAAGTTGCCTCCGCTGCCGAATTGTACAAAAGTCTTATTTACTAATACATAAAGTGCTTAAGTCAAAGAAATAAACAAATATAGTTTCCAGTGAATTCAGCCCAAGTGGCTGCTCGTGTCATGTTTCCTGTTGAGAGAGAGGTTGGGGCATCCTGTTGCGGCGTCAGCGGAATCGATGTAGGGCAACGACTCAAGTGGTCGTTGCCCGGCTTTGGTCGATGTTGGATTGCAACATATGTATGTAAATAATTTAGCGATACAGAAACTGCTGACTTCGTCTGGCCGCTGCCCATGCAGTAACCATCCCGTTAGCGTACCAATTCTAGGGTAGCTCTGGGAGGTTTAGCCGGCGGGTTGTTGCCTACCGACTGGTCGGTAACTAGCGCAGTTAGCGCCTTCCAGAGATGGAAGCCAAAGGTGGGAACCGAGTCCGAGAGACACGGGGGCTGGACCCTCAAGTAATTTGAGATCCAAAGCCAAAAGCGCATTAGATGGAATTTTGCTTGAGTTCATAGCAACTAGCGACCGTCTCAGCAAATTCGAAAGCCAGATTTTTACGGTAACCCCTTTCGAGCCTAGTTCGTTTACCTTAAAGTTCCGTCTGGATCAGGTACAGTCCTTATGGGAAAAGGTTGGACAGGAGTATGAGACCGCTTCCAAAGCAGCTCTGCGCGAGGGAGGTAGCGGAAATCTTCCGCTACTTCAAAATAAATACGAGCACTGCTATGCGGTGTACGAAAGCTGTGCTTCCAAGTTGAACGAAGACATCGACCGTCTGTCCGTCTCCACTTCACAGGCAAGAACAGCTCCGCCGACAGACACATTCTCAAGGGGTTGCAGTCTTCCGCCATGCGACACAGAGATCTTTGACGGAGATTATCTGCGCTGGCCCACCTTTCGTGACCTGTTTACGGCCATTTACGTAAACAATTCAAGGCTAACTCCAGTGGAAAAGCTGTTCCACTTAAACGCCAAAACTAGCGGCGAAGCTCACGCCATTGTGGCCAAGTCTCCGCTGACTAATGATGGGTTCCAATCCGCGTGGTCAGCGCTTCAGGATCGCTTTGAAAACAAGCGATTGTTGGTAAACAGCCTATTTAAAATCCTGTTTAGTCTTTCGACCAGTGAATCAGGCACGGCCTTGAAAGATCGGCAGAGCACAATCCAAGGGTGCTTGATAGCCCTCGAGCATTCACAAATTTCCACGGAAAATTGGGACTGCCTTCTAATTTTTCTAATCTCCTCCAAGTTGCCGAAGGTCACTCTCTCGTTATGGGAGCAGTCCTTGACCAATAAGTCCGCAATCCCAGCCTGGGAAGAAATGAATTCCTTTCTCGAGGAGAGATATCGAACGTTGGAAGCAATTAAGGATGTCCGACCCAATTCTTCCAGCACACAGCATTCAAGGGAGCCCAGAAGTGCACAGCCAAGGAGGGTAAATACCTTCGAGACACAAGTCGGGCCACGCGCACGATTTTGTGATTTCTGCTCCAGAGAGCCTCATCCAGTTCGGCTTTGTCCTCGCTTTCTCCAGATGACTCAACCACAAAGAGCAGCATACATTAAACAAAAAAGATTGTGCCTTAACTGCTTTGCGAGGGGACATAATCTTCGTGAATGCCCGAGCAGGCATAGTTGCTTCACATGCAGGGGACGGCATAATACGCTCTTGCACAAAGATACTCCGTCTAATGCTGTTAGCACAGCGCCGGCTCACCCTCCTGAGCAGCCCATCTCGAACACTTCGGTTCCTTTCGCCTCCAACCAGTAGGGAGTACTTCTAGGTACGGCCATAGTTCATGTGTGCCATCGAGGAGAGAATTTTCCAGCCCGTGCCCTGATAGATTCAGGTTCCGAAGGCATGTTCATTTCCGAGAGGCTTGCCAACCAGATCAAACACCCATTTCAAGCCGTAACAACAAGAGTCACAGGGCTGAACCAAGCCGATTCCGGTGTCTCTCAAAAAATGTGTCATTTCCAGATGGGCACTTCGGCCAAACCAATGCTCAAGATCGACACTACGGCGTTTGTGCTGCCGAACCTGGCCGGCAATCTTCCGACAAGCACAATTGATCGCAGCATTCTTGATAGGCTGCCCAATATGCCATTGGCAGATCCGTCGTTTTTCCAGCCATCTCAGATAGACCTTCTTCTAGGTGCGGATATTCTTCCGTCTGTCCTGCTATCAGGCTGGAGGCCAAACGTATGCGGGTCTTTATTAGCGCAAGAGACCATTTTCGGGTGAATTTTGACCGGCCCAGTGTCTTCAACCACTAGTAGGGTTTCGTCTTTTACCACACAGATATCCATAGAGTCCGAAGCAACCATGGAAATGGATCTCCCATGTAGACTGGTAAAGGAGACGGACAAGTTGTGTGAAGACTTTTTCGTCCGAACAACTACCAGATCCTGCGACGGGAAATATATAGTATCCCTGCCCTTCAAGGATTCAGAGCACATTGACTTGGGGCATTCGAGGAGTTCCGCACTCGCACATTTTCTGAGGAATGAGATTCGCTTGAAGAAGGAGCCCGCTCTCAAAGACACTTATGACTCAGTGATCCAAGAATATATCGATCTTGGCCATATGAAGCCGGTGCCTCCGAATACCGACAAGATAAATTTCTATCTACCCCATCACGCAGTATTCAAGCCCGAAAGTGCGACCACGAAAGTTCGCGTAGTTATCAACGCATCCAGTCCTTCTTCCAATGGGAACAGCCTTAATGACATTCTGTATCCAGGGCCAGTACTGCAGTCCGATCTCACTCTTCAAATCCTGAAGTGGCGGACGTTTAAATTCGTTTTCAATGCCGACATCACCAAGATGTATCCGTTTCAGAGAATCCTCTTTCGAAATAGCCAAGGGGTTATATCCGACTTCGAGCTTCAGACGGTCACGTTTGGAGTGAATTGTGCCCCTTTCCTGGCCCTACGAACACTGCAACAATTGTCCGACGATGTCAACGCCCAATATCCACGGGCGTCGCATATAATTTCAAATTATATGTATGTCGACGATGTGCTAGCAGGAGCCCATACAGAAGCTGAAGCTATTTTAGCCATTCAGGAGCTGCAAGCAGCTCTGACCTCAGCTGGATTCCCTCTCCGCAAGTGGATATCGAATGAACGTGCACTCCTTAAAGCACTTCCTAAAGAGCATCTACTTTCGACTGATTTTCTTGATCTCGAAGAGGTCAGCACCACTAAGACATTGGGAGTACGGTGGAACGCTACGACGGATGAGTTCTATTTTGTCCCAACAGAGGTCACCATTCAGGCAAACTATTCGAAACGACGTCTTATCCCAAATCGCGAAATTGTTCGACCCAGCTGGGTGGCTCTCCCCATTTGTGGTTCAGGCCAAAATCCTGATGCAGGATATCTGGTTAGCCAGCGTCGAATGGGATGACTTTCTTCCTGCAGAACTACTACATCGCTGGCATGATTTCCTTCGGAGCTACAGTTTCCTCCACCAAGTTCGCATCCCGCGTTGGGTACATTTCCAACCAGGTGTACAAGTCCAAATCCATGGTTTCTGCGATGCTTCCCAAAAGGCTTATGGCGCAGCAATTTACGTTCGTATCCAGCGTGATGGAATCATCTCATCAAATCTTCTAACGTCAAAGACCAAAGTCGCTTTGGTAAAAACCGTCTCGCTCCCGCGTCTAGAACTGTGTGGAGCCGTCCTTCTGGCAGACTTGTGGACTGCAATTCTGCCTCAGATTCCTTTCGGTCGTATAGAATCTTTTCTATGGACTGATTCCACTATTGTGCTGGCATGGTTGAACAAGCCACCATGTCAGTGGACGACCTTCGTCGCAAATAGAGTCACAAAAATCGCTCAAAATACTGATGCCAGCCAGTGGTCTCACGTGCGTTCCGAGCACAACCCAGCAGATCTAGCCAGTCGTGGAGTAGCGGCTGAAGAGTTAGCTACCAGTGAGCTATGGTGGCATGGGCCTTCCTGGCTAACTCAGCCACAAGACTCCTGGCCTGCACCTTATGAATCAGTTTCCGACATCGACATCGAGAAGCGACCCATACGTTGCCATTTAGCATGCCCGGAGCAGGACATGCTTGAGCGGTTCTTCAAGCTCGACAAGGCAATACGACTTTTCGCCTATGTTCAGCGCTTTATCCAGCGCGCGCAAAAACGACCTATTCCAGGCGAGCTGCAGCTATCCAATACAGAGATTTCCACAGCTGAGCGACTCCTAATTTTCATGACCCAGCGCAGACACTTTGCGCTTGAATATGCCTGTCTGAGCCAAAAGCGGCCAATTCCAGCATCCAGTTTAAGAACATGAATCCTTTCCTTGATCCTCACGGCCTCATCAGGGCGTGTGGACGGGTGACGGCCTCCGAAGTCCTCCAATATGATGAACGGCATCCGATCTTTCTTCCATACAACTGTCAGTTGGCGCGACTCCTCGTATCCTTTACGCATCGCAAATCCTTGCACGGCGGTAATCAGCTAATGGTACGCCTGATCCGCTCAAAATTCTGGATGTTAAGGGTCAAGTACTTAGTCAAGTCAGTAATTTTCTCCTGCAAAATATGTGTGATCCACAAAAAGAAGTTGCAGACTCAACTCATGGGCGAATTACCGAAAGAAAGAACGTCCTTTTCGCGGCCCTTTACGTACACAGGCATGGATTATGCCGGACCGTTTGACATAAAGAACTACACCGGGAGAGCCTGCCTGATTACCAAGGGCAATGTGTTGGTGTTTGTATGTTTCTCCACGAAGGCCATTCATTTAGAGCCTACTTCTGACCTCACAACAGAGAAATTTCTCGCAGCATTCGCACGATTCGTCTCGCGAAGAGGGTGCCCTCGACAAGTTCAGTCGGACAATGGGAAGACCTTTGTTGGTGCAGCCGCAGTGCTGTCACGTGAATTTCTGCAAGCTGTCAAGGAGTCCGTGACGAATGCTTATTGTCACCAGGAACTCCTTTGGCAATTCATACCCCCAGGAGCCCCGCACATGGGAGGATTGTGGGAAGCTGGAGTTGAAAGCTTCAAGACGTTGTTTTATAAATCCACAGCCACTCGAAAGAATACGTTCGAAGAACTTTCCACATTGCTGGCCAAGATTGAGGCCTGTCTAAATACGCGTCCCGATGCTTGATGTCCGAAGACCCCACAGACTTGTTAGCACTCACGCCAGGTCATTTTCTAGTGGGTGGACCCCTTCTTGCCACCGTCGAACCCGAAATTAAGGGTGCGTCCACTTCGATTATCAACCGGTGGCAGCACCTTAAGGCCCTTCATCAGCAATTCCGCCTGAGATGGAAAGAAGAGTACCTCAAGGAGCTCCATAAGCGAACAAAGTGGCAAGTCCCCACAAGAAATCTCGAGGTGGGCGAGATGGTTATAATCAAGGACGATAATCTGCCATCCAATGAGTGGCGGCTCGGCAGGATTGATTCCGTGTTTCCCGGACCCGTTGGTCATGTCTGAGTAGTGAATATTCGTACTGCTCGGGGGATCGTTAAGCGCCCTGTCACAAAAGTCGTATTGCTTCCGGGGGCGACCTCCGAAAAATCTCAGTAACTAGCAGTATCCTCACTCCGTAGTTTGTTTCTTTCGCTAGTTCTAAGTCATATTTTCGACTCCATACTAATTCCTTCTTCTGTATCCTACTCCAGGTTATAAACAATGTTCCCACGTCTACGTAGCGCCGTCGAAATGGAGAGCAGGCTAACACGAGGTATTAATTCCTACCGTTGCCGAGTCTGCCACGGAGTCAACCCTCTACGGAAGTGCCGCAGATTCTTGCTGTTCAGCCACCGTCGGCTCGAAAACGAACGCCCATGTCCGGCTCGATCTCGTTTTCAAAGTGGAGCCGCACGTGCGCGTCCGCACTTCGATCCGACAGTTGGATGAGACTGTGCGGGCTTACTTCAAGGACATCACCTTAGCTGACGAACGTTTCTACCTTTCGGCTACGATCTCCGTCGTCCTGGGCGCGGATGTGTACCCTAAAGTGATGCAGCCTGGGTTCCTGAAGGTGCAGGATGAATTGCTGGTGGCCCAAATCACCGTATTTGGATGGGTCCTGTCCGGGGCCTGTCACACGCCGTAAGGAGGAGCAGACTATGTTGCAACCCTAGTGATTGCAAGGGGGCGGAATGTTCAGGTCAGGAGCTTTCGTTTCCCCCCCGCGCGACTCCGAAGTGCTCCCGCTTCTTCAAAGCTCCTCAGCGCGCTCTCGCTCTCAGCTTGCGCTCTTGCGCAGCTTGCGCTCTCGCTCTTTTAGCGGACGCTTCGACTCTGGGCGATCGGCGCACGGCTAAGCGGCCGCCCCCGCTCTCCTAGGTTCTGATCTCTCACTCCCGCTTGTATATTTTAATTACCTATGTGAACTCGAATAAAGCGGACCAAGTCCACGCATGAATATTGAAATAACCACGCCCACTTTCAAGATTATAAAAAGTATTTGCTTTCTGAAGAGTCTGTGATAGGGTCAATGGCAATGATACGATCTTCAAGTCATGTAGTATCTACTATTAGGCTATTAGGTGTAATAAAATTATACTTAATAGTAAAGATGATAAAAGAATTATAGATTCTAATAAAATGGGGACTATGGCATATGGACATTATAAAATAGAAGAAAAAGATTCAGAATGTAAAATAGCTGAATTAGATGTAAGTATTTTCGAATGGAATGAGAAAATAAAAAAAAATTGAATATTGTACAAATAGGAGTAATTCAGAACAAAAAAAATTAGAAGAATATTTACGAAAAAGAGAAGAGCAATTTAAATATATATAATAAGAAAATCTCATGATTTTAAATAAAAAGTAGTTAGATAATATAGTATAATAAACAAGTACAATTTTAATTAAGAAAACATTTTAAAACATGTAAAAACTTAATTCTAAGAACAAATGTATATTTTTTTAAACAATATTAATTTTTGAACAATTAAAAATGATTAGTTTTATTAATTTATATTTATTACATTATATTTTTAAGAACAATTGTATATTTCTTTAACAATATTAATTTTTGAACAATTAAAAATGATTAGTTTTATTTATTTATGTTTATATTTATAATATTATATTTTTAAGAACAATTGCTAGTGAACACTGCCCCAACTAAGTATGTGCTAACTAATTTCACAAAATCATCATCGAATTCATCAAATGAAGTCGAGTTTTTAATGAATTTACCAAACTCAAACAAAATATTGAGGATAGAATTTAATTTTGAAATTTTGGAAGATACAGAAATTTATAAGAACATATCCTCAACTGTGATTAATGAAGAAAAAGAGAAATTAAGTGAAAGTGAAAGTGAAAATATGGTGCCTTCACTGCTACAAATTTCATCAACCACACCTTCATCACCCTCACAAATTTTCATCGAGGACGGAGAAGGAGGAGCAATACCGACTTCAGCGCTAGAAACAACCCGCATTAGTGGAAATAATGATGATGATGATGGAACAACAACAACAATTAACCCTTCACCAATTTTAATAGAGGACGGAGAAGAACAATCAACAACGTTGGAACCTATTTCACCTTCTACTATCGGAAATTATTCAACTACACCTCAAAATATAGAAGAAGGAATATCTACTTTCACAACTCTTGTGATGACCAGTGAAAAGGTATTCCCTAATAGTTCAACATATGAAACAGAAACTTCAACTACTATTTCTACTACTTCTACTACTATAACTACAACTACAGAGAAAACTATGGCTTTAAACAAAATTTAATAATCCAAGGGAAAAAAATAAGTGGTCATTTTGATTTAGGTCACAGAGGGGCTAAAAGATATTTTATTATTTCGTATTCAAATGGTAAGGTGGGCATTAAGTGTCACTATAGATCTAGATTAGTTCAGACTTCAAATACTGATAATAAAAAAATAAATAATATTCCTCCATCAACACTTAGAATAAATTGCTTTGAATTTGCTGAAGCGTTAACGCAAGAAGCTCTTATTAATGAAAGAAGGAAAGGTAAGAAAATTAGAACACAGATTTCAAGCGAAGCAGATCAACGAATTGCAGTAAAAAACAGGTATCAGGATATAAATTATGGTTTTTAAGTGATGAACCACAAGTGCGTGATATTAGAAATGATAAAGCAGAAAAAATAAATGCAATCTATTTGAAAAAGAGAAATATATCGGCCAGACGGTTAGATGATTATTTAAATAGAAAAGAAACACAAATTTCAAACGTTGAAATAAAGGTTTGGAGGAGAAGTTATTGTCGGACTCGAGGGGAAGAAGAGTTAGCGGGGGGCGAAACTACGGGTACTAACTACAATTTGTTGGGCGGAACCCGGGGTTACCTGGTTCCTAAAAAGTGACTTGACTGCTTGTGATTACAATCGCAATCGGCGGCTGAGTGACTTCTCCACTGCCGTGGTCCGCTTTATATAGGCCCTGGCGAGGCTTCAGTGTGGCCAAAGTCGATGCGGGAACTTGCCTTAACCAGTGTGGCCAGCGGTTGCGCGGTCCAGTGTGCTCGTTCGATAGTGGGGCGCTCGCGCGCGCGTTTAAATTTGAATTGTTCTTGCCTTTCTGTTTTCTTTAGATACGGGGGGCAATCCTCGGTATTAGTGTGCTGGATCTCCATGGAAGGCAGAGGCTTATGCCGCGGTTGGGCAGCTTCAGAATAATAAGGCCTGTTAGTAATGGCTCCAGACCATCTTTTTAGAGGATAATCTTTATCTTCGCTGTGATTTCGCGCTGTCGCTACCGCTCTCAGCTGGCCACTTGCGCGCTCTTTGGAAAGCGTTGACTGTGAAAGGAAAGGTCATTCATTCGCGTGAGCAAGCGGCGAGTCACAGTGAGTTGTTGCTGCTGCTGCCGTGTAAAAATCAATTCAGGCGGGCTCAGGCAGTTCACCTCTGGTGACCACCAGCGATAAGCCGGAATCATGCCCGTGGGAACGTTTGACGCCTGGGATGCGGCGGTCCTGATTAGCATCCTGGTGATCTCGGCGCTGATTGGCATCTACTACCGATACACGGGCGGCAAGCAGAAGACCACGCAGGAGTACCTGATGGCCAACCAGAGCATGACCACCTTTCCGGTGTCCTTCAGTCTCATGGCCAGCTTCATGTCCGCCATCTCGCTGATGGGCGTCTCCAACGAGTCGTACCAGTTCGGCACCATGTTCTGTGTGATAAACATTGCCTATTGGGTAAGCACACCCATCGCCGCCTACATCTTCCTGCCGGTGTTCTATCGAATGCGAACCACCAGTGTTTACGAGTACCTGGAGCGGCGCTTTGGTCAGGCCACGCGACTGTCCGCCTCGCTGGCCTTCACCATCCAAATGGTGCTCTACATGGGCATTGCCCTATATGCCCCGGCCCTGGCGCTGGAGGCTGTGACTGGGATACCACGGACGGCGGCCATTCTGGTTATAGGACTGGTATGCACTTTCTACTCTACTCTGGGCGGCCTGATGGCGGTCCTTATCACGGATGTGTTTCAATCGTTCCTCATGTTCGCCGCCATATACGCGGTGATAGCAGTGTCGGCGATTAAGGCCGGAGGTTTTGCCGCCATCTGGGAGGTGGCTGTGGAGCGGGGACGAGTGCAGTTCGACGACTTTTCGCTGGATCCCACAGTGAGGCACACCTGGTGGTCGCTCATCATTGGCGGCATGGTCACCTATCTGTCCCTGTACGGAGTCAACCAGACCCAGATCCAACGACTGCTTAGTGTGCGAAATCTGAAGAGCGCCCAGTCGGCTCTGTGGTGGAATCTGCCCATCCTGGGACTCTTGAGCTTCAGCACCATCTTCAGTGGACTGGCCATTTTCTACTATTATCGAGACTGTGATCCCCTGCTGGAGGGGCGCATCAAGTCGAGCGATGCCGCTGTTTGCTGTGGACACGATGGGTCAATACCCCTGGTTTTTCTTGGGTCAAGTTTTTTCCAGTTTCACTGTTGCTGCTTCAGCGGAATGTCGCTATCTTCGCTAGATTTCATAAGCAGGGCGGCGGCCATACTGTTTAGTGCTAGTGTATGGCTTTTCCTTGCGGCCAGGCCGAGATTAACTTGATTGGCGTCACAGATAGGGGCATTTTGCCCAGTTGGAGCTGGTGACAGAAGCAAGTCTGCTTCTGTTCTTCTCCGTCTTTTCT